TGTGAGAATCAGCGCTCTTTTCCTTGTGCTAGAGCCGTGATTGGGTGAGCAATCACTAGGGTAGGGTTGCGACATGAAGAATATGCAGAACATGCAGGTATAAAGCGGCCACTGTCTCGGCCTGTCAGAGTTGATAGACTAGGCGATAGAGTTTGGGAGAAAGTAGGCGAGGACAAAAGGCGTGAACACAGGCGAGGGAAAAGCACCACTTGACAGCCACCACTTTTCACAAGCCGAAAAATGGGCACGCCTTTGAACGGGCAGCAGGGCTCACAAACAGAGCAGAAAGCACACACACGCCACCATGAGCCATGAGTGTCCGCGAAAAAGGCGTAGGGTAGATGTTGAAGATGTAGGCGTGAAAAGTACAAGTGGGTGAAGAGGCTGAAGTGGAAGGAGGGAAAAGTAGAAGGAAATGCACAAGGCAAATAGAGGGTAGGTATAGTAGGCGTAGACTGGAAGGCGTAGATGGTAAGGCGTGATTGATAAGGCGTAGATGGTAAGGCGTGATTGATAAGGCGTAGATGGTAAGGCGTGAAGGTATAAATGGTAAGGCGGAATAAGATAGAAAAAAAAAAAAAAAGAGCGGGAGGCGAAGATGACTTAGATTTTACTAGGCGTAGACGGTAAGGCGTAGACGGTAAGGCGTAGTAAGAAAAGAAAGAAGAAATGTGGGTGGTAGGCGAAGACGGTAAGGCGTAGTAAATAAAATTGGAAGGAGTAAGGTAGGCGAAGAGGAGAAAAAAAGAAAATAGATGGTAGGCGTAGAAGAAGACAAGAGAAAAAAAATATTGGGAGAGTAGGCGACGATAGGCGCTGACAAAGAGAAGAAAAGAAGAGAAAAAAAAATTGGGAGTGTAGGCGACGATAGGCGCTGACGAAGAGAAGGAAACAGTAGAGAAAAAAATTTGGGAGTGTAGGCGACGATAGGCGCTGACGAAGAAAAGAAAAGAAAGTGAGATCGGATAGGCGGGTAGGCGTAGAGTTGAAAAATAGAAAAAATGTATTGATAGGCGTTTGAGATCACGTAGTGAAGGCGGAGAGGGGAATGATGGAGAGGCGTGATCGTAGGTCAGCAAGGGCGGGTGCCGGAAGAGGTTTGGTGAAGAAGTCTGCAAGTTGGTTGCCAGAGCTGCACCACTTGAGTTGGAATTCGCCGGAGTCCACAAGGTCACGTACGAACATGTAGCGGACGTCGATGTGCTTTGAACGGCCGTGGAGTTTGGCGTTGGTAGCGATCTTGATGGTAGACTGGTTGTCTTCATGTACGACGACGGGTTGATCAGACGTTTGCTGGAGTTCGGAGGCGAGTTGACGTAGGTATAGAAGTTCTTGAATGCATAAGGCGAGAGCAACGAACTCAGCTTCCGTAGTGGACAGAGTGACGAGGGGTTGCTTCTTGGCAAGCCACGACACGGGTGAGCCGAAAAAGAGAGTAAAAAATCCACTGATGCACCGTCGAGTGTCAACACACATAGCATAGTTCGCATCGACGTAGGCGGAGAGAAAAGGGAAATCGTCGATAGAGGCGATGCCACCAAGGCGGATGCCATAGATGCGGGTGCCTTTGAGATAACGAAGGGCACGTTGGACGGCAGACCAATGAGTAGGGCCAGGGTTGTGGAGAAACTGACTAAGTTGTTGGAGAGTGTAGGCGAGATCGGGTCGAGTGCCTATAGCTAAGTACATGAAGCTGCCGACGACAGAGCGATAGTTCTTGCCGATCATAAAGGCGAAGTCGTGAGGCGTCGTCGCACAATGGGAGGCGGATAGAGTAAGGCTGGGGTTAAAAGGCGTAGAAACTGGATTACAGTTCACCATGTCAAAGCGGTCCAGGATGGCTTCGGCGTAGCGAGATTGGTGTAGAAAGATGGTCTTGGCTGCTCGGTTGCGTTCGACTTGCCAGCCCAAAATGTCGGAGACTTCGCCAAGGTCTTTCATGGCAAACCGTTGAGAGAGAGAAGCCTTCAAGGCGAGAACGAGGGAAAGGGTAGGCGCAATAATAAGGAGATCGTCCACATAGAGGCTGACAATGGTGAAACCGGAGGCGTCGGTCTTGATGACGACGCAGCGGTCCTTGTGTAGGCGGGTGTACTTTTGGGATGTCATGTAGTCGACAAAGGTCCAGTACCATAGGTTAGGCGCTTGTTTTAGGC